CACACACACACCCCGGGGTTTGGGGGGATGGCCACACTACAATCCCTCCTCTATTTTCCTCTTGGGATTTTGGGCACACATGCACACACACCCAGCCTGAGTTTTAAACCACCAGGTCTGTGACTCGAATCATGGTCAACCATGTGAGAGTCCAGTGACATACATAACCATTATATCATCTGCTGGTCCTGGGATTCCTATGACTTTTATTCAGAGGTTCTTTGTCTGATTAGTCTCTTTCCAAACCCATTATTCCTTCTAACCAGACTTTCTCTACTTCAGTGACTCACTAAGGCCTTAATACTCAAAGTAAAGCCCTAGAGTAAACAACGTCCCCACTTAGGAGCAATTAGAAAAGCAGACTCTCAGACTCATTCCATTGTGCATTGATAAGGCTCTGCTCAAGAGAAACTAGAATCCACATGATGACTATGGTTCAAATCCCCAGCCAGGTCAGACTGAAACACATTGGACACGCTAGAGAGAGCCCAACATCCAACAGGCTGACAGACTGGAAGAAGGGACTCACATCATGACCAGACCCTACGAAGACTACTCACCTCTCACCTGCTTTCTCTTTCTCTCCTTCAGTCTCACTTGCATGTGCATGTGCACCCACTCTGTCACGAATTTTTGAAAGAGAAACACACAGAGAGAAAGGAAGAAAAGAAGATAGGCAAGAACGGGGAGGGAAAGGAAACACAGACACCTTCCCCAAACCTCCTGAATCAGAATCTACATTTTAACTAGATCTTGGGGTAAATGGCATGAATATAAAACTGAGAAACACTGCCCTCACTTTCTGTGTCTCTGTCTCTCTCTGGCCAGCACACATGCCCTATAGTAAAAATCACTCTTTTAAAAAAAAACTGGTGATAGTAATCCCACTGAGACCAAAATGTGCATGGATATAAGGGTTTATTAAGAGCCTCAGGGGGGATGGCCACACTGCAATCCCTAGCTGACTATCCTTAATTGACTTTCACATTCAGTTTTTCAACAGCCAGTTTCTTCTACTCTCACTGGAAGTTTTAAATGTTAAAGACCATGTTGAATCTGGCTGCTGAGTCATAAGAAGAAAAAAACAAGTTCATAGTTAATCGTGAGAAGCCATAACTAATATGATTTAAAATTACATCAGTATTGCAGAAAGATAAACTCCTTCATGATGACATTTCCTTTTCCTTAACCTTTCACAGTTAACAGCCTATTCTATAGTATTTTTCTCTGTTGGTCCTGAAACAAACCAAATATTTTTTTACTTCGCAATTATCATTATTTAGAGGGCTAAGAATGAATAGATTCTAAAAGTATATCCATCTCTTTTGAAGAATAATGTTACAGCAATTTCAAGAGTCCCGGCCCATAGGTCCCTGCTCATCTAATGAAAAGAAAGAATGCTCAGAAAGAACACTATAAGAGGAAAGCACTGGGAAAAAATTGTTTAAAAGGAAAGAAGTCTTATTATAATGGTTAAATTTTCTCTCCATTTTTGTTTTCTTATAAGGGACAAAAAGAATGAAATCAAAAGATGAGATGACCTGAAAAACTAGTCATCGAATAACCACTATAATTACCTAAAATTTTAGAGATTTACAGTTTTCAACTTTTCACTACTTAAAACTGTAAGGCCAGGCTGGCCCCATGGCCTCGTTCATAGCTCTGTGTGTGTGTGTGTGTGTGTGTGTGTGTGTGTGTGCGCTCAAAAATCCCGATGGGATGAAGAAATGGAGAAACGATGCAGCATGGTCATGTCCCACTGGGGAGTACTTTATCCCCCCGCCCCCTGTCTCTTCTCTGGCAAGCCACATGCACCCTCTGGAATTTTTTTTTAAAAAGGCAAAGAAAAAACTTCAAGGCTTCAGGGCCTTTTCTGTGTGACAAGGATGAAAACCTGCAGCTTTACCATATTACACCATTCCCAATCTAAATTTTCCTCTCTATGCATTTTCTCCATGCACGTTTCAGCTGCTTTTTCACATCAGGATCCTTTCCTCTTTAATATGCTATTGGTTATCAGTAGCAGTGGAGTGGTAGAAACAGACTTTGTACCCTAAACTTGCTGCTAGTTCCAGACCTATCACCTAGGGCTCTAATTAGCTCAAAAGTGCATCTCTCCTCATCCCCTTCCATGGATAATCAATACACCATGGCCTTGGTCACTAGAGTCACCTAATACAATTAGTATAAATATAATTATATAGTAATCATAACCCAGTAGAAGGGTCATAGGCTTTAGAGCTAAAGACAGTGAATATCACTCAAATTTACACAAATGTGACTCTGGGAAATTTACCCAATTTCCCTGTAGCTTGATCAACTAATTCATAAATTAGAAGTAATGGTATTCTCTATGGCGTTACTAGGAAAATTAAAATAATCTGCATAAAGGGCTTAATAATGAACTGGAACAGATTAGGTACTCAATAAATATTAAACTATCTATTATATTTATTTTTTAGTGTACACCAAACCAAAAAATAAATCCCATAAATACTGATGTGTCATACTTTCACATTTAGGTGGGTGCTTTTGTTCATGTGAAACTCTAATATTGGTATACGCTAAAAGGATAAATTATATTACAACCTGGGCAGAGCATAGGAGGCCTAACAATAAGGACTCTTTTAGCATCTACTCAATAGTATTTAAATTAATAAATAAAGCAGACTATGATGGAGAACATGACCAGGGGAAATTTCAGTGAGCTCTTAGCTGTGACATAACAATTATTTCAAATATTATTTACTTCAAGCCAACAATTATTTATTAAGAATGTTATGTTTTCATAAGACTATAGTGAATTTTATTTCTATAAACTAGTTCAAAACAACAACAAAACACATCTGAAAATTAAGTCAAATAGATCCAAAAGTTACGAATAAGATTGTTTATCAAAATTCTGGATTTTCTCAATGAAAATAATCGTCTCAAAGACACATCTTTTTTTGAAAGAATTATTCATTATTCATTTAATTTTAGTTATCATTATTTTTATTTTTTAATTTGCTGCAGGGCACATGCTCACCAGAGAGAGACTGAGAGAGAGAGAAAAGTGAGAAAGCTAAGTCGCCAGGTCCAGGACTCGAATTACAGACAGTCATGTGAAGATGCTTTAGCCACCATGCCAACTGCTGGCCCCCTCAATGACATCTTAAAAGATGATTCTTCAGCTACCTTATTTATATTTTCTAACAAAATATCTTTTGCCCTCAAACTGCGGCAAATTTACACATGTATATTTATATAAATATACACACACACTCACATACACACACACACACACAATGCACACACAGGAACTTCAAATGATACATGGAAAATGAAGTTAAAGTACAAGTTTATTTTGGTGCAAAAACCTTCTTTGAAATCCATGCACGGCTTTTTCAGAATATGCATTTTCCGTGAACTTTATGAAAATTCCTATCTACTTGAATTCATTATTTCAAAAGCCAGAAGAATTTCCTCCAGGAGACTATCAAGAGCATTAGAAAACATTCCGGAGCTAATGGTATTCATCTTTGTCAAGATACATTTTTAAATGTATTTTTCTTAGGTGCACAAACTGGAATTCTTAAAGTAGGGCAACTCATAGGCATTTCTTTGGGAGACACTTGGGCACTACTAACTCCCTGAGGTATGGAGACCAGTATGAATACAAGTCAGTCCAGATGGTACACAGCAACTCTAACAAAGATTGTGCACAGCCTCAACTTGAAGACTAAGCAAGATTCAACTTGTACGTAAGTTTCAACTTGCCACCTCCGTTTCCAGTTTACAAGCAAGGGTTCAGAAATGACCCTCTGGGGACCAGCACTTAGCGTAATGGCTATGTCGCTGGACTCCCACGTAGTCGACCGTGGTTCGCGTCCTGGACCCAGTGGCTTAAAACTCACGCCAGGTGTGTGTGCGTGCGTGCCCAAGATCCCGAGAGGAGAATGGAGGAGAAGGGATTGCAGCGTGACCATCCCCCCTGGGGGGTGATTTCTCACTTTCTGTCTCTCTCTGTCTCTCTGTCTGGCGAGCACATGCGCCCTATAGCAAAAACCTCTCCAAAAAAAGAAAAAACAAAACAGAAATGACCCTCTGATGATGCAGAACATGACAGATCAGAGTCTCATTTGACAGCAGCTGAGGAACATCAAAGTCTGCACTTAAACACCCCAAAGTCTGGGGATTTTAGGCATACTGCTCTCTTCATACTGATAAAGATGTAGAATACATTGCACGAGTACCTTGCTGCCAAATTTTAAATTTTGCTGCTTTTCTTTGACACAATTCACCACACAGATATGATTTCAAAATATTACAAACTCTCATATCTATAATTGACTGAATTTGACATTCTTCTCCTGACATGGTTTCCTGACTTTTTCCTGTCAAATACTAAAATAAAGGCACTAGTAATCTCATGTACCTGAAGGTCAATGTGATTTGGCATTGTAACAGAAAATACAGATTTTTTTTCAAATAAGACATTTAAACTCATTTTAGATTGTTGCCACCTGTGTTCAAGGACAACATAGTTCCAACAAAGTTGCCAAGAATTTTCCCTTGTCTTTACTAGAGTTTTCAGTGGTTTCTTTTTTTTTTTTTTTTCCTTTTTTTGGGGGGGAGGTTTTCGCTATAGGGTGCATGCGCTCACCAGAAAGACAGAGAGAGACAGGAGATAGAAAGTGAGAAATCGCCCCCCATGGGGGGATGGCCACACCACAATCCCTTCTCCTCCGTTCTCCTCTTGGGATCTTGGGCATGCACACACACGCACCTGGCATGAGTTTAAGCCGCCGGGTCCAGGACTTGAACGACGGTCGACTACATGGGAGTCCAGCAACATACCCATTATGCTAACTGCTGGTCCCCGGTGGTTTCTTAATGTTTAGAGTAGATTAGTCCTTTGTACCTTGATACCTATTCAACAGATTTTCCTAATTCTTCCATAATCACAAGAATGAATATAATTATTTTATCTTTAATGAATTTACAAGTGAGATTCTTACCCCCAAATATAGTAAAATTCCATAGAACGTAAATCTCCAGAAAAAGCATCGTCGAAGGGCATTAATAAGTTTGGGATTTTTCTTTGAAGCCAGTTCTCTGTCCCATTCTCTGCAAAAGAATAAAAAGTGGGACCAATCAGTTTCATGCACAAATACTTGAATTGTTCTATTTCCTTGACATAGCTTGATTCATGCAAGTACATCCAAGGAGATTAACCCAAGTAACTAAAAAGACAAAACCTGTGGAGGCCCTCCAACACCAACTACTCAGTCAAACGCTTGGCAGATTTCAGTGGCCTACCATATATCACTGTGCAAGGAATTGATCTCATGAAAAGGTCACATTTTGTGTGTTAAAGAACAGTTCTGAACTTCTTAAAAATAATGAAAAGAGTGAACAAATAAAGTACAGCTTGTGAATACATGTTGTTATACTTAGAACAGGTTAAAAAAAAACACACACACATAAAATCATCTAAATTTTTTTTCTCATCTTCTGATTTTATCTGTTTAAAACTGTCATAGATTTTGTAAGCTTTAACTGTCAAGCCAAAACCAAGCTAAACTGTCAGGTAGATTTTTCTGTGATTTAACATGAGAAAAAATGTCGGCCTAACTTTTTCAATAGTACAGACATGAAATAAATATCATCAAACTTCGTTTTCAGTTACTAAATTAGTTTATTGGTGTAGAAGTTCTTGAAAAATGAAAATAGGATCAAATTTCATACTTTCTGGCAAGAACACACATTAAGTAATCTGAAAACTGACTGAAATCTAATAAACGTTTTGTTTTCTTTTAAATGCTATAAGAACATAAGATAATTGTATTTAAGTTACTACCACTGCTCTATGATAACAAAAGTGCCTTTTCTCTTCACAAGAGAATAAAATATCCCCGTTACCCTTATCTTAGTTTTCAAACTGTAAAGAGGTGAAAAATTTCATAAATGAAAGCAAGGACTAGATAAAGAATTAAATAAAGTCTTTCCATTTTATCAATGGCTATTCACCTTGCTATTAAGTTACATGCTTCTAAGTCACTCGAACGGAGGGAAACACAACTGAGATTTGGAGACGAGTATAGCAATCTCTTTTCACGGACGTTGGCTTCCCACACAAGCTTGCTAACTAATCACCCTTTTCTATCTATCTACCTACTCACACTCTTCCCCACCTTTCACTCACAGGTGGAGCTTGCCTCCCATCTGTAACATTCAGCAACTCACAACAGGATAAAAAACTAAATATAGCACAGATTCACAAAGAAGGAATGAGTCAGATGGGAAAACAAAGAAAGAAGAGTAGAAAATAAACCAAAGAAATCATTTAAAAGTGAAGAATTAGTCAACAGTGAAGTCATGTATAAAGGTGTCATTATATTCAATAAGTAAGACTTAGGTGACTCTGGTCAATGTTGTTTTAGGAACACAGTAGAAGTAGAAAGCGTGTTTCAGGAAGCTGAGATGTAAATGATAGGAGAAGTGAGAAGACCAGGAAAGCAAAGAAATGTTAGCTATAAAATGAACAAAACTTTGGGGTAGTGACCTGACAGGACATTAAAGTTGGGGAATTTATTTACATGGGTAGGACTTGGCAATTTGTAACCCAAGAAAAGGAGTTAGCAGCAAGAGTAGGTGATCTGGTTCAAGAAGTGCCCTAATAGGTTCAAATCATTAGGGAAGAAATTCTGTACATTAAAAAAGTTAGTATCCTTGCGTCTAACCTGGAATGGATGTGTGGTTTGCATACTGCAGTGATGCTAAGCATTCAACTCCACGGCCACAAACTAAGCCAGATGGATCAGTGTATCCCAGTCAGAGGGAACCACCAAAGGGCTTTGGTCATAAGGCAGTTATAAAATGTGAAGCCAGCGCACGGGTGCAGAGGGACAAAGAACTATAAATAGTATGTCAGTCTTGCAGAATGTTTCAATAGTCTAAATATCAACTTTATAAGAAAAAAAAAAGTGAATAATGAAGAAGTACAAAAACTAAACCAAAACAAAAATAGACATAGATTTTATGAACTTTGCTCACACAGGGTTGTTTAAACAAAATAGATACATTTTAAAAACTGAATATAAGAGAAGAATATAATAAAAACTGAGGAGAAAAAAATGTTAGGCTAGATAATCCTGCAAATTCAGGTGTATGCCTTCTAATTGGCTATAAAAAAACATCAAGAGTAGATAATTTTAAATTAGCTCAGCCCTACTCTGATTAATCTTTCCCTCACCATCTTTTTGGAGCTTAGACATTATTTTAAACTCGTTGATATACCTACAACATATTACTTCTTATATTTTATCTCTCCAACAATGTTACAGGCCTTTGTGTAATGCTGGTCATTTCATGTCCAATCAAAGGATCATTCAACAAATATTTACTGAGTACATACTATATATAGTTACTCAGGGATATTGTAGATAACTCAGGGATACCTCTTAAACAAAACAGATCAAACAAAAACAAAAACAAAAACAAAAACAAAAAAAGCCCTGCCCTCATGTCACTTACATACACTGAGTGCTCAGTAATAGCAGTTGGGCCTTGATCTTGAAAATGTGAATCTGCTATTCTCAGAAGTCTAATTCTTTGAATAAAATTAGAAAAATGAGGTTGTAATACCTTACTTGGCCTTGAAAATGTCAAAGAAAGGAAATCCATTTCATGTAAATAAAATAAATAAATCACAAGTCTACTTAACTTTTTAAATTCTAGCACAATAATTTAGTAGCTACTTTTTTTTTTCTTCCACTCCCTTTCCTTTTATCTGATATCAGACCCTGTGCTGCTGGTGCAAAAGCCAGTCTACCTCATTCACACTGATTGGTGAACACATGACTCAAGAATCTTTGGCCAGGAGTAAAGGGCTCTTTCTTCTGTGATCTATAAAAATACGAGCAAAGAGTGGTAATCAAAGACCCACTGCAGGGAGAAAGCTGGTCTGAGAGTATAAAACTAGCACAAGGCAAATATCACTGCATGGCATTTGAGTTCCTGGTCCCATTAAATCCCTAAAGCCAGTTCTCCACCTAGGCCTTCATACAGTTTAGGCTTTATCAACAAATAAATTTCCTCCTTTAATTTACTTAGGGCAGTTCATTGGGTTTCTGTCACACACAATCAAAAATCCTAACTGATCCTTTTAGAAAAGGGGACTCGAATATTCTTTATGGTGGAGCACTGTTCCTGGACAGATGGGCAGTACAGCCCCCCATCCAGGTCTGTATCATTCATGGCGCCATCATTCATTAGCTGGCAAATTACATCATCTCTCTAAGCCTCAGTTCGCTTTTCTGTAGGATGGAGACAGTACGCTTTCCTCTCAGAATGGTTGAGAAGACATACTATAAGACATACTATACCTGGCATGTAATAAGTACCCTTTTGAGTGCTTATTTCATATTTTTATATAAATTTTTCACTTCTTTGATACCTAATAGCCATAACATCAAGATTTATAGCAAGATGGTATAGCAGAAATGCACTACTGAGGAGAAACTAGATCCCCCTGGTGACCAAGGTTCGAATTCCCAGGTCGGTCAGTCAAAAAAAAAAAGCTTGGCCCACAAGTGAGTGCCCAAAATTTGATGCACTGGAAGACTTGAGAAAGGGTATCCCCACTGCGACTAGACCCTGCGGAAGGAGTCCACCTCTCTCTCCCTCTCTTTCATCTGTGTACACACATGTTCACACACATGTACCATGAATAAAGGGAAAAAATTTTAAAATAGGACTTCAGCAATAATATGTTCCTACTTTAAGTATACCTTTTTGAGAATTAAGCCCTCTCTACTGTTAGTTTCCTATTCTCTATATAAAGATTAACATGAATTTCTCTTGTCAACTAATAAATGATATACATGAATATACATACCTTTCCAACTTTTCAGAGAGATTGTCAGCCGAATCTGCTGATGGAATTTGGTATATGTCTGACAATTCCAGGCGCTGTCTATAACCTTTCTTCAAAATTGGTCTGGTCCAACTAAAATAAAGAGAAGAGGGGTAGACGTAAATATTTGATTGATTTGGTCTCTGATGTAGATTTGGAATTTGATACCTATTCAAATCTTGGGGAAGGGAGAAAACGGTATGTGCATAAAGTACATCAACTTACATAAATACTAAACTTCATATCTGACAGAATACACCTGTATATACACTTTGCCAGAAGGGATTGAGAATGGTACAACTCTTCCCAGAAGAACAACTGCTAAGCATTCCCTATTTAAACATTATTAAATGGCCTCAAAATAAGCATATACTAGGAGTTTACAGAAAGTTGCTAAAGTCTAAGCTTTATTCCACTTCAAATATAAAATGAACTATGAATGATAAGAAGACTTTTAGTAAACATTCTTTTATTACTTTGTTACTGTAGCAGAGGGTTCTCAACCATGAACTATTGTTAAAGGAAGTAACTACAGCTCCTCCATTCAACTCTCAGGTTTTTGAGCATGCATGCACATGCATCTGGGGCTTATACTGCAGTCAGCCATCTGAGAGTCCAGTGCCTTTAGCCACTATACTAACTGCTGGCCCCAATAAATAACTATTTATAATGGAAATTAGTGATATAGACATGGGAATAACTAAACAGGATGCCCCAATCATTTTCTTTTTCTTTTTTTTTTTTCTTTTTTTGTTTAGGAGAAATTTTTGCTATAGGGCACATGTGATTGCTGAAGCGACAGAGACAGAGAGACAGAAAGCGAGAAATCACCCCTAGGGGGGATGTATGGCCATGCACAGTCCTTTCCCTTCCGTTCCAATCTTGGGCATGAATGCACAAGTTTTAACTCATATCCAGCATGAATTTTAAGTCTCTGGATCCAGCTTGAACTTTGGCCAACTACATGGGAGTCCAGCAATGTAACCATTATGCCATATGCTAGTCCCCTCAGTCATTTTCGAAAACACGGTTTCTTACTATTATGGATAAGGTAGAATAGTCTTCTAAGAAAATCTAAAGGGATAATAAAATCTAAAAAGAGGAGGAGAAAAAGGATGTAGAAAAAGGATACTTGTGAAATTGATCAATCATGTACGAAGAAAGATTATAAATTAAATTGTGAGAATGAGACCTTTCTCAGGTGAAATTTCACGTATTGAAAAAAGGAACTGAACTTGGAATTAGTGATTTATGAATCTATTATTTTTCCATCTTTTTTTCCTTTGGAAAATTCTGAAACTTGGTACCATTGAGAATTATTTTGGTAATGTATCAAAGTACTTATTAAACCACCAAAGATCAAAAGGGTGTGTTTTGACAATATCTGAGAGGCACAATAAACTTATAATAGTAAACTTATTCTCCAAAGTCATTCAGAATTAAAAGAGAAAGTGTCAAACCAAATGCAAACGTTTTTCTCCAGGGCAAAACCTTGCAGATGGCCCTCCTGTCCATCCTCATCACTCCCACCCTATGGGTCCACACGTTATATATTCTTGGTCTTCAGTTTCTTCAGAAAGTCCCCATCCTGTTTTCCTAATGTCTTCACAACTAGTCTTTCATCAAAACTTAACTGAATTAAGGCCCAGGTCAAAGGCTAAGTAACATCATTAATCACTTCTTGCTAAGATATTAATGAGTGATTATGATTTAATGTCATCTTTTTCCATTAATTTGCATTTGTATTTTAACAAGAGGTTTCTTTAATAAAGGGTGATAATTAGGTTTAGACTTCATTGCCTGCCTGATCCATTAGTAATTTTTCCTGGAGAGCAATGAAGACACTTGAGGCCAGTCTGAACACAGCGGGAAGAAGTGTTATAATCATGCCATGTCTTTAGTGGACACTGAGAAAGTAACAGTACACCCAGCTGCTGCCCACCACCGTACCATCCTACTATCTAACATAAAGACGAGAGGGTGAAGTTTGAAACACAAGTGGCAGGCTGTGACAAATCTGAGACAGCAATTTAGGATATAATTTAGGTTTCAAAATTTTGTAAATGTAAGCCAAGAAATGAAAAGGTGAAGAAAGTATTTACTGCTAATAAAAAATTGTGTGTACCTAGCATTTTCTAAAGAGCTTTCACAAACATGACATTTGTGAAAATTACATTGTGATTTTAATATGAAACTCTTGGTAAATGGGTAGAATAAAAAGGAATCATAGATCCATTTTAACAATAAAGAAATGAAGGCTCAGAGATGCTAAACTTGTCTGGCAAAGCCTAGATTTCTTCCACATTCTTCTGACTTCATTCCTTCCTTTACTATATTCAGTTTTTTTTTTTTCTTTTCTATTTAAGAAAATTAAGCATGGTGGGTTGTGCTAAACAGATAGCTAGGAGGAGAACCTGAAAGCGGGGAGAACAAAAGCTACCAGATTTATGGGACTGGCAGTTAGCATAATGGCTATGTCACTGGACTCCCATGTAGTCGATCCCTGTTCAGAGAGGAGAATGGAGGAGAAGGGATTGTGGTGGTGTGCCTATCCCCCCAGGGGGTGATTTCTCACTTTCTGTATTTCTGTCCTTCTCTGTCTGGCAAGTGCATGGGCCCTATAGCAAAAACCTCTCAAAAAAAAAAAAAAAAAAGAAGAAGCTACCAGATTCCAAGCAGTGGGTGGCATAATTGGCAAACATTTACTAACAGGAAACAAAAGCAAAAGCTGACTTACGGCATTTGCCAATTTCTGTGGTGTAAATACTCTCACCGTGACCAATTTCAAGCTATTACATATGAAGTCACTGGACACAGAGCTGGAAGCGATAGAGAGTTGAATATTATAATGTATCAGTAGTATGTCCATTGTTAGATACAATGAACACAAATGACCTCCAAAGCATAGATAATAGTAAAATGTAAAATAAATAGGAAGTGGTAACTTTTGAGGTTTTTTTTTTTTACTATATTTTAATATAATTTAATTGTAAGTTTAAATAACTTAATTTTTAATATTGGCTATATTTAACAACAGTTCATGGATTTCATGAAAATGGTACAATCTGCTCCAGCAGGAAGAAACTATCTGAAGTAGATCACTGATTGCCAAATATTTGAAAGACTTAGAATAAGAGTAATAGCATTATGGATGAAAAAGATAGAAGATTTAGTAAAAAGGAGTATGTGTTCCACCTATTAATAAACTACATTTATAACATGGATGAAATTATTAAAGTATGACAGTAAATTTATTAATGAGAATTTCACTACCTGTCTATATCATACCAAAAAAAGACATTTTCAAGAAATTAAAAATTAAATGTCAATTTCTTTAAAATTATATAAATGTAGCTCAATTGTTCCATATCCAAGACTGGTGGCTAGTCCCATAAATAGGTATTCAACTCATTTCAAAGTAAAACAATCTGGGGAACCAGCAGTTAGCGTAATGGCTATGTCGCTGGACTCCCACGTAGTCGACCGCGGTTCGTATCCCAGACCCGGTGGCTTAAAACTCACGCCGGGCGCGTGTGCGTGCGTGCCCAAGATCCCGAGAGGAGAATGGAGGAGAAGGGATTGCAGCGTGACCATCCCCCCTGGGGGGTGATTTCTCGCTTTCTGTCTCTATGTCTCTCTCTGTCTGTCTGGCGAGCGCACGCGCCCTACAGTGAAAATCTCTAAAAAAAAAAAAAAAAAAAAGTAAAACAATCTGTGGGCTGCTTTCACAAAATGCTTCTGTTATCTGTGTCCATTGTAATATTATAATATACCATGACATCTAGTTGAAATATCAAGAGTGTCCTAGCCCAGCATGATCAAACCAAACAAACTCAGTAGTATAAAAACTCAAGTTCACCAACTATAATTATTAATATAAGTTAGCATTTCTTGCCAGGTTAACCACAATAGACCTGTATCTATATCCTGAAATCAAAATTCGGTTTAATGTGTATTATAAAAATTAAAACCCATAACTTTAGTTATTTGGCCTAGTAATCACCACAGTCTTCTTAGAGAAAGATTTTATTCCCTAAGATTAAGCTCATCAGGGAATCTCAAAGTCTAGCTTCAGTCGTTTTCTTTTTTTCCTTAAGAGAGATTTCTAGGGGAACCAGCAGTTAGTATAATGGCTATGTTGCTGGACTCCCGAATAGTCGACCGCGGTTCACATCCCGGACCCGGTGGCTTAAAACACACGCCGGGCGCATGTGCGTGCGTGCCCAAGATCCCGAGAGGAGAATGGAGGAGAAGGGATTGCGGCATGACCATCCCCCCGTGGGGCTGTCTCCCTCTGTCTGTCTGGCGAGGGCACGCACCCTATAGCAAAAACCTCTCCAAAAGAAAAAGAAAAAAGAGAGATTTCTATAGGATGTGTGCTTCACCAGAGACATAGAGAGAGACAGAGAGAGAGAGAAAGTGAGAAATCTCCCACCAGGGGGTTGATCACCCAGCAATCCCTTCTCCTCTGTTCTCCTCTCAGGACTTTTGGTATGCACGTACATGTGCCGGGTGTAAGTTCCAAGCCTCTGGGTCCAGGACTCAAACTGCAGTAGGCCATGTGGGAGACTAGTGCCTTAACCACTATGCCACCTGCTGATCCCAACTTCTGCCAGTCTTAATTAAGAATATGAACAACAGACATCCTGACTTTAGACACTTTTTGGAATTTTAATCAGTGCAAACCATCAGTCACCCCTCCTTTTGAGTAATTCTGAGTATATTAAGCATATTTGGACAGAATTTTTAAGAATGCCTAATCAATATTTCTACCCCAACATTTCTCCCATCAGAAATCAATGAGAATTTAATTGGGGAAATTGAATAACAACAAAAAATAAAGAGAGACTGAACTGGTGAAATAGAAAATTTTATGACTTTTGACTAATACATTGTTGATTTTTGTTTCTAGGCTTCATTTTCCGATTTTAAGGATTTTTGTCTGGTCTTGAGCTGCTGATAGGTTCATGTACCTACTGTTTGAACAGAATCCCAACCTGTTTCCTGGCTTTAAGTTTTAAGCATATTTCCTTAGCATTTGTTTGATTTATTAAAGTTAAATCTGCTTTTCTTGAAATTAAAAAATATAGTAA